TTTGATACATTTCATTCAGACCTGCTGGTCATGGCGACGGAGTTTCGTTATTCATGTCCATCTCACGCGCAGAATGAGTCGGAGATGTTAGTCAATCGGCTTTTATAAAATACAGCAGGCGAACGAGGACTGCTGGAACACAACCAGCCAACCAACACCCCTCATCTGTACGCCGGTTTTCGTAACAGTCCGGTTCATAGTATTACCAGTGTCGGGCTCAACTGCGCATGTACAAAGCTCCTGACACAGATGGAGCACGTGGTTGGAGGAGACAAGGCCATCACGCTGTGCTGAAGCCGCCTGCTCAAGATGCAGCGCCCGGCGGCGGAACACCTGGGATCGACGCAACACCGAGCAACGGCGCAAACCTCAAGGACTGACGGCGATGACCTCAACCGCACACACGCCGGGGAACGCGGGTGTAGTCTTCGGAGGTGCTACGTGCGCGCGCGTTGCGCCCTTGGCCTACCGTACGGGATGCGGTCGACGACACACCCCGTCGTTTCCTCGGCCTTGGACTACGGTCGGGACGGCCAAGCTCCGGTCCGCGAGCGCCTCATCCGAACGGCGGTGTGGCACGTTCCGGCGACACCGGATAGTCTAGCTGCATGCGGGCTACGCGGTCTACGTGACTGACGTCTCGTTCTCGCCCTTGGCTGGACGTTATAAAAGCAGGGGACTCTTTTGTCAGGGGGACAGACCCCGAGCGGGACTCAACATGCTTCTTGCTGTAAATATGTAATAAACTATCATATCAGTCCTAAAGGAGTTGCTTCAAGGTGCCGGCAGATTGGAACCGCAGCCCGTCGAGGGGCAACTAACCCGATCGACGAACGTCGGGCGCCTTCACGGACAAAGGTGAAGAGGCGGTTGCAGAAGTACCAGAGACTGATTTACTTCACTATCTGGAACAGGACACCGGTTACCAGCACAATGGCTATAATCACTTGCTGCCTCTTACCAGCAGTAGCTCTTAGTTTTTCTGTGAAAAAAAGGCTTCGTGTTTGTAAGTTTTTTTTCAGGTTTAAAACTTTTTTCTTTTTTTTTTATCGTGACCTTAGGAAATTAAAGATTAATCAAGCGAAAGATTCTGTCTACAAAAGTGGGTAAGGAACTTTCAGGCAGCGAGTGGGAGAACGAGGGTAAAAAAATTACACAAAGGGTGGTTCCTTTTTTTTTTTTTAACTAGAGAGATGAGCAAATAGCTTCGCCACTAGTTGTCCACTGCTGTAAACGGATGTCTCACCACGCCCCCCCCCCCCCCCCCCCCCCCCCGCTGTCCACCTCCGCTGCGCAAAGCAGGGGAGGAAGAGAGGGAGGGGAGGAGGCTGTAGCGCAGTCGGTCGTTCAAGCCTTGTGGGTGGTGACACTATGGAAAAAAAAAAAAGAAAAAGGAGGATGAACGGAATTAGCTGGTAGCCGAAGGTTTTTTTCACTTTCGAGAAGTGAGGTTTTCCTTCTTTCTTTTTGTTGTTGTTTTTTTTTACTTTACTGTGACGGATGCTGGTTCCGTGCAGCGATAAGCTCGTGCAGGATTTTGAGTTAAGCTCGTGCAGGATTTCACCAGTTTTGGTCAAAAGTAACGAGTAGCGAGTAACGTAATTTGACAGCCGATTGCGTAAAAAAAGTAACGGAAATACTTTACTCGTTAGTCATTCAGAATACTAACGAGTACGTTACTGCGTTAGCGAAAAATGTAACGCGTTACCAGAAACGTCGTTACTAGCAACGCGTTACCTCCAACACTGATTTCTCAATGTATGGCGGCCGTTGAATCGTACGCATCTCCGACGCCTCCCAATGTCGGCATAAATACGTATGTTTTCAAAAACCCGACCGAGACAGATCTTGACATTTCTGCGTACGGCGCAGTGCCGGCCAATCAGGTTGTGAGTTGACAGCCGCAACTTGCTTAACGTGCTTGAGGATGGGCTTATCGAACTTTGCGGACCGCTGGCTTGCTCGACTCGGCTGCCGAATAGTGCCGTTTGCTTGTTGCCTTCGGCGGTTTATCGGTGAGCTGCATGAAATCGCCCTATCTCCTCCGAACGAGCGATGAACGACTGAGACAGGAAAAGGGGCTTTCTCTATGGTGGACGATTTGAGAAATAAATTATAAAAAAAAGGGTTTTGAGCACAGATTCCAATCGTACTCCTCCTGGAACTTGTTGGCCACTTAACAATTGCAATGCACATTTTTTTTCAGACAAGCGTTAACAAATTAGGCTTTCGTTGCTGATTACCATTCAGTTATTTCTGTCCCTTTGCAGAACGCGATAATAGAGCAGCCGATCTACTTCTTTCTTGTTTTATAATTTTTATTTAAACTCTTATTTAGTGGCGCGAGTCCTGCTGCATTGTACCAAATGGCTCGGAGGTGCCGACAAAAAGCGGCTTATGTGGTTTAACGGTTTAACGACTTTCCCCTCTTTCCTTCTGCGAAGAAGCGCCCTGCAAATGGAGCAAATGCGCCCGCAAAAATGTACGTAAATATGTCTAGAGTACGTCCTATGTAGGTCGGCCTTAAGGTTAGGAGGACTATCACATGCACGAGCGATATGGATTGGTGGTTCAGTTTCAGACGCACAAATACTAGTTTTAAACTGGAGGGGAACCTGTACAACCCAAGTTCTCAACCTGCATTTTACCCTGGCCCGCGCCTTTAATTTTCGCGACGAGCAAAACGCTAGGAAGGCCATGAAAAAATGCGCACAAGGTATATCACTATGGCCACTGTTATTCCTGATTGGACGCTGTAAGAAATGAAGGATTATTAGCGACGGCGAATATTGCAGGCGGCTAGTAGTTCATAAAAGTGACAGATTCAAAGTAACCAGAAAATATCTAGTCACTCTCAAGCTGATGTAACGCGCTCCTTTTGAGTAGCTGTAACGAACAACAAGCTAGTTACTTTTCGAGAGCGCAAGAAGTAACAGTATTCAGTTACACTATTTCAGCAAAGTGTAAATGTCTGATCCTAAAAGTGAATCGCAGTCGCAATTGATTACGGAGGCCTGCCTTATTTGGCGTGCGTCGTATAGTGTTCTTGTCAGTCCTTCTGTTGTCGTGTTTTTGAGTCGATGTCAATATTGCCGCTAGTTGCCGTGCTTGATTGGATCGCTCGATCATGCGAGCGCGTACGTGAACGTGGACTGCTATCTGAAGACACGCTCTCTCGAGAAAACTTTGTAGCCATAACAAAGCATACGGGCTTTCACTTAATAGTAAATTCGGAGCTTGAAGCTGGATTACGTGACAGAGGTAGAGTGAATCAGAAATCAGGAAGACCCAGTGCGTGATACATTTTGATTATATGCAAGTCGTATGTACAGGTTCTTGCAATCAGAGGATCAAAGCAATAGACGCTATGTGTAGACTGCATTTACACGGCCTTCTCGATGGCATAAATCTCTACCCGTAAACGGTACCAACGGTAAGCGTTGAAGAGAGAATTAAAGGCCGGGTTATTATGCTAGGGCTCATTTACGTGTCTCTTATGACAGACGTACCCGGTGATCCGAGGCTAAAACCGACGGAGTAGCAACCCCGTGATCTCTCAGAAAATTTTGTACTCTTTTACGACAAAAGAATAATGATTTGTATACCACCACTTCTAACTAGGAAAAGGCAAACTACAAGACATCAGCCACGTAGGCTGTTTGAGTCAAGCAGCGTATGAAGCGCTGCTTGGATGAAACAGGAACGGTTGTGTAGCTGGATGAAACACTACTTGTGTAGCTGGACCGTAGGCCTAGAGCCAAGCTTGAGCGAGCTAAGGCTTGATCGTAGTTGTGTTTGTAAAACGCGAATGGGTCAGGGCAGAGCCTCCTACAGAAGTTTCACAATGCCTGTCAACACAGAGCGCGCCCAATATGAGGGCAGCTGGCAAAAAGTGCGCGTGGCTCCCGGCTGGTGGCGCTAATCAGCGCCAGTGGCTTTGCAGGGAGCATTTACGCCGGGGAATGGGTTATCTTGCCGGCTAAGCGAGTAGCCCTTGGCAGCCGCTCGCGTCAATCTTGCGGACTGTTGCTGGTTTACGAGGCATCCGAGATTATAGCTCTGCATAGATGAAATATAGAAGGAAGCGACCGGCAGTAAATTCGTTATAGACGAATTAAAACGCGAGCGAAAAAAATCCTGACACTAGACGTGTCATGTTAAGTTTCGAATCAGGAGGCTTGTTAATGGGAACTTATTATTTTGAAAATAGCGAGAAAGGAGTTGACGGCACGTTGACAGAGCACACATTAAACCAGGTCTAATAAATCACACCTATATAGTTAAAATTCAATTGTGGCACTGCGTTGAATGGCGTTCATGAAGGCAACGGGCAAGATATTGACCTCTGCCAGTGTCTTTCGTCTGGTTGTTATATACCACGGAGGGGATCTGCGACGCAAGTATCCTGGCTGCGAATGAGTATGACAAAATGCAGCGTACATTGACTGTGTCTCTCCGCTTATTAGAAACCACACCGAGGAAGGTCTCTAGCTGAAGATTTGACACTGACGAGAAATTGGCTTTCGCACTGAACTTCGTGTACTCTTCATTTTTTTTTTGCTGAAGGCATAGTTTATTAGTGGTCACCCGTAGAACTTTCTGCAAATGAGTTGAACAAGTTCATGGCGATGAGCCTCATTGTTTGTAGGTAGACTAGCAGAGGAGAGTTGCAGACTGCTGGCTCTGCTAACCTGGCAAGTCTCTCGACGGGTCGTCAGTTCCTCACGTTGCATGATAACACATCCGCCGCAAATATTTTCAATCAATCAATCAATCAAATCTTTATTCAACATCGCACAGATGTTGGGGGCGCAGACAAAAAGCCTATAAAAGGCTTGACTAAGGGTCTGCGCCCCCTGCAAAAAACTTAGCATTGCAACAGAGGCACGTCATAACAAAAATGGATAATCGCATTGGAGGTGCGTCTCAATTTTGCGAACAAAACACTGTAAGAGCGGTATAGCAACAGAAAAAAGAGAACATACTGTGACTTGCAAATGCTAATCAACATTTAGATTATTTAATAAAGATGGTAAGTTAAAACGAAGCATCTGACGACCGTAATTTGTACCTGTTTGTGGAATAATCCAGTGACAAGTGGAACGTATATCGTGTATGTGTACCTTACGTTGTAGATATGATAAATTTAAAATTGCCATGTTATGTTGTCTGATGCTCATATTGTACCGTTTTAGTAAAATATCGTTATATAATTGAGGTATTGGGAGTATTTTGTGTGTTTCAAAAACAGACTTAGTATGGGCATCATATGGTATGTTTGCTATGATTCTAATGGCTCGTTTTTGAATTACATGCAGTTTGTTTATGTTGGAGAAAGTCGTTGTGCCCCAAACCAAAAAACAATAAGAAAAGACAGAGAAAAAATAATGAGTTGTACAAAAGTTTCTTAATACATTGAGGCATAAAATAACGTAATTTAGACAGTACACCTACAATTTTGGAGATTTCTTCGGCAGTCATATCAATATGCTGATTCCATGTGAGATGCTCTTCAAATAACACTACTAGGTTTTTGACCACTGAAACAATTTGAATGGATTATGAGCCAAGCTTAAGATCAAGAGTGGGAACATCAGAATATTTATTTCGGGGTCTGAAGAGTACTGCATGAGATTTGCTTGTGTTTATGGTTAACGAATTTGAAATGGTCCAGTTTTGAAGCAAGCGCAAACAATGGAAAACTTGTTCTTCGAGGTCCGACGCTTGTGCGGCACTAAAGAATAAACTGGTGTCGTCGGCGTAAATAACGAATGTTGGGTTAGAATCAATAAGAACAATGTCGTTGATGTAAAGATTAAAGAGTAAAGGTCCTAATATGCTACCTTGAGGAACACCGGCAGAAATGGGTTTGGGGTCTGATAATTCGTCATTTATTACAACTTGCTGACAGCGAAACTCTAGATATGATTTGATTATTTGTAAACATGTTCCACGAAACCCGTAGGACTCAAGTTTTAAAAGAAGTGTCTTATGATTTATGGAGTCAAAAGCTTTTGAAAAATCTATAAACACACCAAGTGTAATTTCTCTGTTTTCAAAAGATTCAGAAATTAGCTCTTTTTGAGTGAGAAGGGCGGTCTCTGTCTTTGAGGATGTTGAGCATTCTAATTATTTGTTCTGAGCGGTACGGGAGCCCTCTTCTATCCAGGTGGTTTGTTAGACCATGCAAATGGCTATTGGTTTTCGGTTTCGCCATATTACATGATCAGGAGAGGCATGCTAGCTATTCGTTTACGACGCGAGTGATGTAGCCTTCGATGTGTGCCGTTCCAGGCAATTCCAAGACCTGCACTCATCTTACAGCAAGATGGTACCGCATAGCCAAAAGTTTCGCTGGACTTTCTGGATGGTCGAAAGATGCGACGACTGGCACTGTAGGTAGCGCGCAACGGCCTGACTAGCGTAGTTATCAATCCGTCACTCACTCGCTAACTATTTGCTGCAGGTGGGTAATAATTGGGCTTCGTGATGTGAACTACGGATCGCCGGGACACTGCTAAGCAGGACAATCAAGCATGGTGATATAGGAGGTTATGTGCATTCTAACTGAGCAAGGCGCCGTCTCAGCTATCCGAATTTCGCGCGCTCAAGGTCACCTTTACTTCGTTTCTTTTTTAGTAGCCGTTGAAGGCGCTGAGGCGGGGGATTTGGTTTAGGATTTGGTATTTTGTGGAAGAGTGAGGGGATTTTCGCGCAGGAGCAGATATGCTGGCAGGCATGGTCAGGACCTCGTTAAACTTCAAACAAGTTAGTAAGGTCGAGCGAGAGTAAAGCGCCGTTCACACTCTTGCGACCGAGTAAGACCGAGAGAGACCAGACCGGTTTTTAAGCCTTTTGCGACTTCTTATGACCGGATGCACTGCAGCGGAGCTGGTCCTAAGAGATCGCAAGAGGCTAAAAAACCGGTCTGGTCTCTCTCGGTCTTACCCGGTCGCAAGAGTGTGAATGGGCCTTAACACAAAATCGTAACACGCAGCAAAAGCAAAAATATAAAATAAATAAAGCCGAAAAAACCGAAAAGGCACACAATACTGCAGGGTTTATAAAGTGCGCTGTAATTTTAATCGCGTGCACTATGCGAAATTTAAAAATCGCCCTCTGGTTTTGCCTTTGTGAATTATTAACCTCAGGCCAGAGGCTATCGCACGAACCATATATTCGAAACCGGTCGCTTCTCAACACCGAGTGCTCCGCGTTCGCAAATGTCGCCGGCACAGACCTATATTTTTTGTATTTTCCTTCCACTGGCCATGTATGATACCCGTGATAAAATAAATGCCGCTTTAAACAAATTATCTACATCATTTTTTTTTTGTCTGAGCGCTACCCCAGGCAGCACACCATTGTTGGACCCCCGTTGGCACAATGTTGGCAAAAAATGGTTCCAATATTGGTCTGACGTTGGCATTTTTGAAAAACGCTACCCGATCCAATGGTGGTCCAACATTGATGCCAATGTTGGACCACTGGTTTGCCAACGTTCTAGCCCACGTTGGACCAACGTGGTTTCCGCTTTTTTATCCAATATTGGCATTGAAGTTTCACCGTTGGCTGAACCAACATTGTCATCCAACGCCTTACACACTGGCTCTTCCAACATTGGCTTAAATATCGGCTATTCTAATATTGGCATCCAGTTTAATACACTGGCAAATTTTTGCATCTTTGTCTATGACATTATTAGATGCTATTTTTCAGCCAGTGTTCTAACAGTGTCACAAAAACAGTGCAGAGAACCAAGCAAGTATCTTTCCCTTTTACCTGAAGCACCGTTTTCTTTCTTATACTAAAATCTAATAAATGCGGTAATTTGACCATATTTGGGCACATTAGAAATCATTAAAGCATGCAAATGAATTGTTCATAACGTTTGACAGTTCATAATTTATTTAGATCGAATAAATATATTTAAAACATTGTGCAACCACGGGGGCCTGGACAGACTCGGTGGCAGGGTCGGCGGCAGGCTCGGTAGTGGACAGGGCAGAGCGCTGGGCAAGGAAGGGGATACCACACAGGGGCATGACCACAGGATTCTGAAAGAGACAGAAGCGGGGGTTGGATTCAGTTGAAGGGTTTCAGAGGCTCTCAGTTCTCTTACGCCTGTCAATAATTAATATCAAAATAAAAGAGAGCTTCATTAGTATTCGCTGCCCTTTAATTAAATATTCGATTAATCGGTTCAGTTGCTCTTCAAGTATAAAATCTCGGAAAAGCCTACCGACTTTTTTATGTTTACTTTTCTATATGATAAACTTTATTTTCCAGTGAATTATTTTTCATTATTTAGTATATAAAAAAGTTAGTACTGCCTTCTAAAATAAATAGATGCGCAGGAAAGACACCGGGGCCAGCTTGCTGAAATCAGTGTCTCAGCTCAGACTGGGTGAAAGAAAGCACTGTAAAGGCTGGAACGCGCGAGCGTCTTGAGTCGAGGTTTGAGTCCCGTTCAGCTCGTACGCTGGCTTTGACAGTGCTTTCTCTTCCCCCGTCTCGGCTGAGACGCTGTTTCTAGCAAGACGGCCCAGGCACTTACTATTGTTTTGTTCGTCCGACTTGTCCTTACTCAAAGCTCGATCGATCTAGATTCAGATATTTATAGTGATTAAAAAAAAAATATTCGAATAGTACGAAGGTTATTTTATCAATTGCTTAGCTCTAATCTTGCAACATCATGGCGTCCCTTAACCTTTCATCTAGCTATAAGAAGATTTAAGAATTATAATCTCGCCATCTAAGTTCACACCGATATTTCTACACGTAAGAACATGACAGTTCAACAAAATTTTATGCTTGAATCAATCAAGAATTCAAAAAAAAAATCACGCATATAAAATAGCTTGCCGTGGAAAGACAATTAGTGGCAATTACACTCGCAGAGCGCGGTGACATAGCTGACACTCAACTTGCACCCAACAAGCCGAACCTTGTCAAATAAGCACTACTCAACACTTTGTAGTATTCGGCTTTGGACATACCTGGAGGACTTTTTACTGCAGCACACATCTGCCGCCAAAATGACAGCCGTATTTTAACAAGAAAAATGAAATAAAAAAAAACTTCGAGCACAGAAATAACCAATCAGAACGCCTCTCGCGGTCTATTAGAATAAAAAGCACTACAAATAGCGCTGTACAGGGCCTTTCGGGCCGATCGCTGTGGATTCCGCGTTGAACTCGTCGGAGATCCCTGGCACAGAGTCCGACACGGTTCAAACTCATCGGAAAGTGACAAAACGTACATTGCGTAGCTAGCAAGAATACCTTGTCACTCACATGGAAGAGAAAGCAGTCCGTCGTGTCTTCGGTCCGTCGAAGCTAGTGGTCACATGTATGCCCACAACAAAGGAAGATCACCGGTATGTAGGCGCTGCCGAAAGAATATCCATGGGTCTTGGCAATCCGCATGTTGAAGATCGCACTTGGCACTAAGGCGAAATGCGCTGCTGGTGATCGGAACTCTAGAACCACCGTTCTTGCCCATGGATGGCGGAGATGCCGAGCCGCTTCGCCCGATAAAAGCAGTCTGCTAAGCAATCAAATGCACTCGGACAACCTGGAAACGGACCCACGGTGTCCTGGTATCAGCATGATTATCTTGCCATTCTTGTTTCTTAGAAAAAAAAAAAGCTATTTCTGCCACAAAAAAAAAAAAAAAAAAAAAAAAAATGCATGATTTGCGAAGCGCACCTGCCCACTTGCAGTTCGCGGATGCGCGTGTTGGAAATTGAGGAGACCGTCCCCACCGCCTTCCAGTCGTTGCCTTATCGTGTGGCCTTGGTGCTCGCGATCCCACTTTCTGTGTGCTTGTGTGTGCGTGTGTGCGTGTGTTTCGCGGTCTGGACTCCATCACCCCTAAGCTGAGAGTTCAGAGGAAGCTAAGAAGCTCGGTGAACCAATCTCAGGTTTATATTTATTCACGTGGTCACACTCTCTCCCGTAACCACTCGCAGAGAGCGGTGCAGGTGATGACTGGTCCGGCCGGCGCGTAGCTTCCCCGGCACTGTCAGCTTAGAAATGCGCAGTGTCCTCCTCCCTCAAGGTCGTCGAGTCCTCTTCACCCACAAAGGAGAGATCAGTGACGGCGTGGGGAAAATGGGAGGGGAAGCCGTTCAGGGACGTTAGTTCCGAGGCCGTCGGCGCGACCCCTCCCCTGCATACTCTTTCTGCTGGTATTTGCTATCCGGGTTTCCAAAAACCAATGTAGAAGAGATTGCTTAGACATGATAAACTCTACAGCAAGTGGACGGAGAAAGACTGACAGACACGAAGCTCTGAAATCAGCTCGGAGCCTAATGTCAATATTGAAAAGAGACAGTGATAAATCAAAT